CTCTACTATAATCACCAACTAGTGGGCTGACATTGGTGCCTTAGACCCACATCTACTGGAAGGTAACTCACCTCGATAACTGGAAGTAGCTGCAAAAACTATGGCTCCGGATATCACCCGACTTAAGCCCCTATACATAGAAGATTTCCTTTAATTCCCTTTTCATACTCATAACCCCTTAAGGGTCAACTTTGGTCAAAGTCAACATTCTGGTCAAAGTCAACGTTCTGGGTTGACTCAACTCGCCGAGTTGGTCCATCAACTTGCCGAGTCCCATAAATCATAAACCCTGAAATCGCGATCCAACTTGTCGAGTTTTTCACGAACTCATCGAGTTTCTCCTATCAACCGAATTGGGACACCCCGACCCAACTCGTCGAGTTCTTCAGTCTTATAAGCCCTTCTTAATGGATTAAGCTCATATCCCTCAGATCTAAGCTCCATACTTCATATACATAGTGAAAATGTCCTTTTAAGGGTAAAGTTTCCAACTTTACCCGTTAATACCCTTCCTTAATGGGTTTAGCTCAAACCCTAACTCTTTAAGACCTAGATCTTGATCCAAAAGTCATCAATACCACAAGATAGGGTGTACAAACAGAGATCTGGACCTTAGAGACTAGATGAACACGTAAAGTCTCTGACTTCCCTCCATGCATGACCTTTTGGAGCTCAAAAGGCCAAAGTGACATCCTAAAGCTTGCATGGGGCTTCAATGGCCATAAAGTTTGCACCTTTATGCCATGAAAGCCCTTCTAGACCCTTGATCTGAAAGGGTATTCACTTGGGACGTCCAAGTCCCAAAAGTTAACATTCTTGGACCAAAATATGGAGAAAATGCCCTGAAACTAGATCTAAGCATATTATAGTCAAGGTATGAGCTTTATACCTTTGATGAACCAGAAATGAAGCTAGACTTCTGGATCCACTCTTCTCCAACACTTCCTTGCTCCTTCTTCAAGTATCTTCTTCTTCAAAACCTCAAAGAATGCACCAAGAATGGCTCAGAACTCTCAAAAGTGTATTAGGGTTTCGTGGCTAGGGTTTGGGACGATGGAGGCTGTAAATGAGGCCAAGTTATGGGGGTTAAGGTGTTTAAATATGGTGCAAAACCCTGAAAATTAGGGTTTCATTCTGCCAGTCCTACTCGTCGTGTTGAGGCTCCTCAACTTGTCGAGTAGACTTCATAACTCGCGTCCCAAATCCATCTCTACTCGACGAGTTTGGGGCCTCCAACTCGTCGAGTTTCTGTACAAAAATGAATAAAATATGAATTAAATACATACCAGGAACCGTGCGTTACAGAAAGAAGGAAGCTTAAGAAGAGAAATTTGAATCTGATCGTGAGATATGGATTTTGGTCGCATGGTTCGATGATCAGATTTTGGAAGCCACTACTTGGGAGTTATAATAACTTAATAGATTGCTTAGGAAATATCTGGAAACATAGTTTTCATATATTTGCATTGTAAAGGACAAATTTTTTCGCTTATTATCAATAAAAGTGAAATTTTGATTTATTTACTTTATATTTCCTTGCAATGGCATTTATGAAAACTGGTTGTTATATTTCTATTATGAGCAATGTTAAATATGGATTTGATTCTTAATTATATAATTTGTGGTAATGTCATAACTGACCAAGTGAAAAGGAATTCTCATCACCCAAGTTTCAATTGGACCGAAACTCGGAGTCATGCAATTCGAATTGATGTATGAGAATCTTGATCTTTGGAAGATTAAGACTAATTCGTTGATCACATGTTTATGTGAGTCAAAGTGAAGGACAAAATGGATCTACTATATGTTGATATGCACTACTCAGATCCACCACAAAGGACGATAACTCTATTTGTTATGATTTACCGATGTTTCAGTAAACATTACTGTGTTTATAAGATTAAACATAATTCTGATACTTTGAAAAAGTTTCAAAGAGTGGCAGAACGAATATGAAGAATCTGTTAGGCAGAAAGATAAAAGTTTCTCCAATCTGAAATGAAAGGAACTTTAGTATCGTGTTTTTGTGATCATCTTAATGATTGTGGAACCATGTCACAATTGATCCTCGAAGAACATCTTAGTGAAATTGTTTGACTAAGAAGAGGAATCAGATATTGTTGAAATGGTTCAATCATGAGACGAGCCATACTTCGTTTCCAATCAAGTTTTAGAGTCGCACTCTAGTAGCTACGAATCGTATCTTGAATCTTATTCTATACTAAGTAGGTTTATAACACCTCGTAAAATGTGTAGTAATAATGTTTTCTTACTCTGACACATTTAGAATTGGTAGTTGTGATGTTTTGGATTTAAAAACAGAGGATGAACTAAGATCAATTCAATAAAGTGTTTTCTTGACAAGAATCCATACTAACTTTTGAATATTTGTTTTTGCTTGTCGAGATATGTTCCTTAACAGAAAAACTTATATGTCAAGAAGTCAGTGAGAGTCTTATTGATCTTGAAAAACTTTCACGAAATCAACACAAAAATAAACAGGTTGACACGACACGACATGATAATTAAATGGTTTGGGTTAGGGTCAAGCTCTCCCAACCCGCTTAATGTCTTGACATGACACGAACCCGACTCCACACGACACGTTTTCCAGGTCTAAGTTTCACCTTTGTTATATTTTATTATTTTCTTATTTGATCATTATCAAAATCCAACCCAACAACCACCCTACCTCGCCGTCTCTAGCGATTACATGCGACCTAGATTTCATGGCTGAAAGAAGGCATTTAAAGTTAATGTTTTTTTATTTAAAAACCAAAAAAACTGATATCTATAAACTATCAAGCAAAGAGGATAGAAAACTATCAAGCAAAGAGGATAGATTTGCCATGGCTAAAACTTATGAATAATCTTTAACTTTGCTCAAATACACTTTGTACAAAGCGTATATAATCACAAAGACCAAAACACAAGAAATAAATATTTTATATCAATCAAAACTAGTATCAAAAGATGAACAAACGACAGAACCCAAAATCAGCATATCAATTGAAATAAGTTCGAAAGATTAGCAAACCTAATTTTTATGTATAACTAAATCTTAAAATCAGCCTAAACGAATACCAAAATATCAACAGATCATAGAGACTAAGGGTGGTGGAGTTAGAATATCGTCGGCTGACCAGTTGGAGTTGAGACTAACATCTTTAAAATCAGAACATTTATTCAACTCCCCTTCCGATGCAAACATGATCGAATTCAACATTGTTTGTGATTTCACCGATGAATAAATTTTGACATGTTTGAGATTTCACCGATGAACAAATCTATATATCATATGGAGATTAAACTTATTCGGATTTCACCGATGAACATTGTTGCCGCCTTAAAACAGGTAAAAATGATGAAGCATGGTTGCTTTTGGGAAGAATAGAAGCCGAAAAACGAATAATGCCATGGGAAGATCTCTACTAGCTGGTTGTTGATAGTGAGAAATGAGAGGGTGAGGAGAGCATGTGGCGTTAAAGAGGGATGAAGGAGACAAGTCGTTGACACAACCAAAAAGTGTCACTAATAGCCTTTAGTGGTGTTTTTAGCGACACTTTTTTGTGTCGCTGTTTGTCCATATGGCTTTTAGTGATATTTTTTTGATTTTTAGTGATATTTTTTATGCCATTAAACAAGAAATCGGTGGGAATTAAATTTCTATTTGATTTCATTTATGAACAAAAAACACACTTATATTTTTCGAGATTTAGATCTAAATCTGAGTGTGTGTATGTGTTCATGAGTGAAGAACAAAACAACATATTTCACTTTAGATTCTTTTATTGTGGAGTGTATGTGTGTAAGCGTTCATGAGTGAAGAACAAACAAACATATTTTTGGAATCGTTTTAAAGAATAAACTCTTTTAGAAATCGTTTTTTGAAGAACAAACCAATGACTTATGAAGAACAAACACATATGGGAAAATCATTTTTTTGCATAACCCGCACATATGGGAATATCGACACACCCATATTTAAGTTTTTAACGAACAACACACACAAATCGATTGTGTTGATAAATCGTTTGATTTTTTTGGGTATTCATTTATTTTGGAGTTCATCAAGTTTAGATTTTCTATATGAGTGTGTTGGTGTGTTTTTCATGGACATAAGAACACAAAAAGTTAAATTAATTGTCTTGATAAATCGTTTTGTAGGTCTTTGTTTTCGTGTTTGAAGCACAATTTCTTGTTTTTGAGTTCTTTAGACATAAGAACACGAACACAAATATGAAAATCAATTTGTGTGTTTGTTGTGGACCTTAAAATTGATTGTTTTGGCGGGAGAAGATTACTAAAAAAATTATATTTGATTTGAAACCTACATTAATCAGTGATAATGATGTTTTTTACATACCATAAACAAATTTACTGCTGATATATGCAAAAAAAAAAAAAAAAAAAAAAAAAAAAAAAAAAAAAAAAAAAAAAAAAAACATAAATGAACTAAATTTGTATACGAAAATAAAGTTCATTATCTTTATTACTTATTAGACTAACGGTATGATGATGTTTTTGCCAATGGTAAAAGGGTGTCAAATAGGTGTCACTTAAGCATTTGTCTATCATACCAATCTTTGCATCTAACACGAGTGTGGTGATATTTTTTCCTATGAAATTATTTTCAAACCATAAATATATACAACCACTCTTGTGTATTTTTCTAATACATAAAAGTACAACCGATGCAGCTTTCTAATCTACACAAAACGGTTTCATCGGTAAAAATGAAGAGAGATATCGGTACTTGTCTACTGTAGTCATATTTACCGCCGGCTAAAAATAGACTAAGGTATGGTGTTTGCCGCCAGCAAAATATGCCACCTAGGATACCGGCAGTAGTTTTACCGTTTAGTCTTAGTCATTAACTAATTTTTTATAATATCCTGTCAAGTTCTGTTAGGCTTGTTTTCCAAAAGGAGTGTTTATGCGAATACTTGTTATTTATAATAAACCAACATATGCTTTGTTAGGCTTTCCACATCAAAAGGTAAAGCAACAAACTTATGTTATTGATGATAAAAGCCAAGCAGAAATGGGTTACAACTAAGCAACCCTTAGGCTGAAAATATATACAAATGCAGGGCCAGAGGCTACTTATAACGCAATGGCATTAAAAATCAAGTACTGAAAAAGTTTCCATAAGAGCTGGACATAAACCATAAGTCAGAACTTAGAACAGAGATGTTTACATTCATATCAGAAATCTAGTTCTTTCCAAACAATCCAGGTTCTTGAAGTCTCGAAAGTGCCTTCTCAAACTGGCCCCACCTTTGTTCCAGGGTCCCACTGTAGCCGATTGACATCCTAACCAAACCAGGGGAGATTCCGGCGAGCGCCTGTTCCTCTTCATTCAATTCACTGCTTGTGCTGCTACCGGAGCAAGACATGAGGGTTTCATAGTAGCCGAGACTAACAGCCATGAGCCCAAACTGAGTGTAGTTCTGCAACAGATTCATCAGCTTGTTGGCCTTAGCTTCGGTTCCCATGTCCAGACAGATCATCCCGCCATAACCATAATCTTTGTTTGAGATCGACTTCAAGAGAAGGTGATCAGGGTGGTCTTCTAGACCTGGGTAGATGACTTTCAGTCCCATCTTCTTCATCCTTTGGGCGTACACCAACGCCCGGTGGCAGTGCTCTTTTACCCGGAGACCCAAATGAGGGATTCTTTCCGACAGCTCAAATGCAACCTTCGCGTTCATGGTGGGACCCAGTAACATGAAAGCTCCTTGGTGAAGATCCATGAGTGAGTTCAGGAGACTTGCCGGACCACATACAGCCCCTGTAATCGAAAGTATGATCGATATTAGAAGTAATAGCAGATGCAAACACACCCCATACCTTATGTGACCAAGACACAAGAATCTTTTTAAATTTTATTCATATATATAATTTTTATTGAATCTTGCCTATAAAGCTGATCAGAAAAGGACAGACTCCTCACATGGATGATAATCAAATCAAGATTGACAGATTCCTATTTTGGCTGTTTGTAATCATGCAGATACCCATACCCATAAACATATAAACATACTCATTCATGACAGAAACAGACTCCAAAAGGTGGAGATCGGTCAGATATCATGACGAAAACTAGCAAAAAGAACAAGATAAGTTATAAGCTGGCAGAGGGTTTCCATGTGATACCCTTTAATGGAACAACAGTGGTTGATAAATGATAATCACAATTCACATGAACCATATGAATCTCTGCTATGTTATTTTCAAGTTTTAACCTTTACCCAAATGACAAAATCAATGGACTTTGAACTTTGAAGTTTTAATCGGTGGAAAGATGATAGTAAGGAAAGAAAACTGTAAATTAATTGATGATATGATGATGTTTGTTTGCAGTTGCTATCATGTTCATGTTCATGACACGCGTACGAAGGAGGAAAATTCAAAACTTACCAGCAATGATGTCGGCCCCGCCGCTAATATACTTGGAGATACTATGGATTACGACGTCGGCACCGAGCCTCGCCGGAGAAACTACCATCGGCGCAAAAGTGTTGTCGACGACCACCATCACACCTTTCTCATGGGCAATCCTGGAAAGCTCCGGAATGTTAGCCACCGTGAGCGTTGGGTTAGACATGGACTCAAAGTACAAAACCTTGGTGCGCCCTTCAACGATTGCCTCTTTCGTCTTCTCCAAATCCCTTATGTCAACAAACGTCGTCGTGATGTTCGACGACCTCGGAAGAAAATGGGTGAGAAGGGCGTGGGTGCCACCGTAAAGCGTCTGCGACGCCACAATGTTCTCCCCGCTGCTCACCAGCTGCAACAGAATCGAGGAGATGGCGGACATGCCGCTAGACGTGCAGTATGCCGCCTCTGTTCCCTCCAGCGCCGCCATCTGACGGCCGAGATTGAGGACGGTAGGGTTGAAATGGCGGCTGTAGATGAAGAAATCGCGATCGGGTCCTAGCTCTCCGGCGAACATGCGGCTGAGTGTTTCTGGTTCCATGACGGTGAAGGTGGCGGAGGCTTCGATGGACATGTTAACTCCACCGTGTTCACCAAATTCATGGCGAGCATTTGCCAACGCCATAACAGGGTCTTCCCATGTCGGCTTTGTTGGTAGTTTCTTGGCGATGATATCATCGTCCCGATTTGAGTCGTCGGGATTCATCCTCTTCTTTGAGGAAGAGAAAACGTTGGTGTTCTGAATTGCCTCTGCCATTGACGAGAACTTTGTACTTTGTATAGAGGAGAGCAAGAGAGAATATTTGATGATGAAGATGGAGGATTGAGGGGTTGCTTTTATAGAGGATTGGGAAACTCGGTGGTTATTAGGTGGGAATAAATGGTAATTAAGTAAAAGTGAATCTGGTCACCTTTTTGTTTAAATTACAAGGAAGACGTTGGAAAGGTTTAGGACTTTGATAAAATGACCTTAGACTCTAAAATCGAAACAGTCATATGTACCATAAATTCGGCTCTGTCCATCAAATCGGGGGAAATTTCATATATGTATTCTAAAAAATAAGAATTCTGCTATGCTATATATATGACAGCGGAATTGCTTAATAGATTAAAATTTTGATACCATGATTATTTAAACAAAAAGAATCTACATCAATCTAGACTAAATTCTCATTAGTATATCAAATCATTGTCGAATGTTGGAAAACATGGAGTGGGTAATAACTAATATTGATTCACAAGATATCTACACCAATTTAATACAATGAATGGTAGTTTTAATGTACTCTTCTAATCTTTTGTTTATACATGTTTGGCCGAAATCAAGGTCCCTTTTCAATATTACCAGCGAGTAGTTCTGGACTAACCCAAAATAAGTAAAAACACTTGGCCCATTATTTCAAGTATGAGTGTATGACCATTATCTAATAGAATATGAATGAAATATGAATTGTCCGATTATCATTCCATTTTACAACAATTTTATCATTTTCGTTTTTTATATTAAACTCTACTACAAAAAAAATATAATCAAATATATTCTTAAAAACATTTATTTGCTAATTATTTTATATTGATAAAATTAAAAAAATGGTCCCTAAGCTTAGCAAAAAAATATCATTTTCGTCCAAAAAAAAGTTTTGAACTACCGCCATCGGTCAAAAATAATTTTTTTTATTGTAGTTTTTGTCTTTTGAAACTCCAAATGACTTAGAATAACTATTTTATCTTTATTATTAGCTTTTTCATTTTCTTTTAATTAGTCAAGTATTTTTAAAATTAAAAACATATTCAACCTCGCCCACCTACCCATCTCTTTTTATCTTTATAAAACAATAATGAACTCTGTCAACCCCAACCTATCACTGGCCATCAGATTTGTTGTCAATCTCAACCTATCACCACCCAGACACCGGATTCGTTGAAGCCGGAGTCGCCCCACCTACCCATCTCTTTTTATCTTTACGACAGTTCTCATTTGAAAAAATTCCTATATATAAAAAATAATAAACATAATTTACACAAAAATGCCTAAAGATATTTAAATCTATAAAAATTTGTCCCGGTTTAAAGTTTATTGAACTTATGAAAATGAAAGTAACATTGAAAATTGTAATAAAACAATTGCTAAAATGCCTAAAGATATTTAAATCTATAAAAAATTGTCCCGGTTTAAAAGTTTATTGAACTTATTAAAATGAAAATTTTGCTATACAGTTAACAGAATATTAGCTTTAAAATATTATATTGTATCATCAGATTCAACAAGCGGCAATATCACCTTGTCATGTCATCTATTTACGCTTATTATATTGGTTAGTAATACATGGTTATATGACACCTAAAGTAACTTTTAAAAAAAAAACGGTACTTATACTTAGATGTTTTTTAATATAATATATCATGAAATTAATAGATAAAGTCGAACAGTAAAGAATTTATTATAAAAAATATAAAGATAGAATTAAGTGATGTTGCTGATGTGGCGTTATTGGCTTATTGCACGTGATTATAGAATGACACATGATAATGTTGTGTTTGTTCTCCAAAGAGTTTGGGTTTTAGCGTGGAGAGAGGAGGAATCGCATATGATCGACATTTATTTTACACGTTATATACACCACTTATCCTTTTTCCTTTTGGCATACGCATTTTTAACTTATTGTATCCAAATTCCAACATGCCACGTGTCTATAATATATATGTCCCACACCACAACTACTTCGTATTATTTATTTTATAAAATATAAAAATAACTAGACGAATATCCGTACGTTGTGTATAATACAACAATATATTTGAAATCCTTATAAATATATATTTTTTAAATATAACAATAACGTTGTTGTTAACTCTTATATAATAAATATTATAATAACTTGATATAAAGATAGTTTGTTTTGATTTATATGATAATATAGATATATTTTATAATTTTATAATTTTAATTATCTTAATGACCTCATACGAGTTACTCATGAATAAAATTAAATATAATATATGACTTAATGATATTTATAGATGTTGTTTTGATCAATTAACTTTAAAAAGTTTATTTACTTAAGATTTTAATTTTCACCATTGTAATTATTTAAAACATCAAACATTGTTTTTTGTATTTTAAAGGTAACAATATAATTTTTATATGTATTGTTATTTTTAACTAATGTTGTTGTAATTATTTAAAATAACATATTTGAAAACTCTTAATTAATTTAATTTAGTTTCAGAAATTTAAATTTTTTGTAATTTATTTGTTGAATATTGTTAGTTTTTTTATTGTAACTATTTAAAACAACAAATGTTGTTTTTGTTTTTAAATATATTATTATAAATTTCTTATATAATATTACTTTTAACTATTCTTATTGTAAGTTATTGTTAAGCTACTTATTTGAAAATTCTTAATGATTACAAAACAAATTTCATGTTTTTTTTGTTTATTTAGGATTACAATTTAGGTTTAACACTATGATTAATAACTTTTAACTATTTATAAAAAAACCTCACGATTTTTTTCAAGTTTAACTGAAGTTTTGATTTAAGTTAACCGTTTAACATTATATTGAAATTAATAACTTAAAAAATTGCATAAAATCATAAATTATATAAAAGTTGTGACTTTAAAACAACAATTGCTCACATACGACAACATATATAAACTAATAAGATAACTATAACTTATGTTAAAAAGTTAAAGTCGCAATTTTATAAATATAAGTAAAATATGATATTTTAATGTTTGTAGTTTAATTAATTTATGATTGAAATTTAGTTTTTGCATTGATTTAACATTATTAACCAATTTATAATAATTATTAAAAAGAAATTGAAAAGTCATCGAGGTTTCAAATGCATGTGGTGCACTTAAAAATGTCCTTTTATAAGTATACTAGACAAATACACGTGCGTTGCACAGAATACAACAATATATTTGAAATCCTTACAAATATATGTTTTTAAATATATCAATGATGTTGTTGTTACCTCTTATATAATAAATATTATAATAAGTTGGTATAAGCATTGTTTGTTTTGAATTATATGATAATCTAGACATCTTTTAAAATTCTATAATCCAAAATGTCTCAATGGTCTCTACCTGCGAGTTACTCATGAATAAAAGTAAAATATAATATATGGTTTAATGATATTTATAGTTATTTTTATGATTAATTAATTTTAAAAAGTTTATTTGGTTAAGATTTTAATTTTTATCATTGTAATTATTTAAAACATCAAACATTCTTTTTGTTTTTAAAGGTAACACTATAATTTTTATATATAATGTTACTTTTAACTATTGTTGTTAAGTTATTTAAAATAACATATTTGAAAACTCTTAATCATTTTAATTTGGTTTCAGAAATTTAACTTTTTTAAAATTTATTTGATGAATATTGTTAGTTTCTTTGATTGTAATTATTTAAAACAACAAATATTGTTTTTGTTTTTAAAGATAACATTATAATTTTTTATATAATATTATTTTTAACTATTATTATTGTATGTTATTTTAAGCTACTTATTTGAAAATTCTTAATGATTATAAAAATGAGTTTCATGATTTTTTTTGTTAATTTAAGATTACAATTTAGGTTTAACACTATAATTTATAACTTTTAACTATTTATAAAATAGTCTCTCGATTTTTTTTCAAGTTTAACTAAAATTTAAATTTAAGTTATCCGTTTAACATTATGTTCAAATTAATAATTTAACTATTTTGCATAAAATAATAAACTATACAAAAGTTGTGACTTTAAAATGACAATTGCTCACATACGACAAGATATCTAAACGGATAAGTTAACTACAATATGTTAAAAAGTTAAAGTTATAATTTTATTAATATAAGTAAAATATTATATTTTAACATTGTAGTGTAACACCCAAAAATTTCAAACAAATTTAAACTTTTAAAACATGTCAAGTTCATCAAAACATTACAACTTTGTTTTCAAAATAATTATTTATCAGAGTATTCCCAGAAACATAAACATAATATGAGGAGCTGTATGATCATGCCTTCGCCTTGCCGCGATCCCCTGATGTACCTGAAACAATAAACTGAAACTGTAAGCCCGAAAACTTAGTGAGTTACCCTCAAAATACCGATACACATACAGTCCACATAACCATATCAGTAATAACATATCATAACAAACTGAAACAACATACAATGGGTCCACAGATTTACGAGCTGGATTACCCCTAGGCCCTCAATACGAGTCTGGAATGCCTACCGGCCCCTCAGCTCATATCTGGAATGCCATCGAGCCCTCAGTACAAGTCTGGAATGCCTACCGGGCCCTCAGCTCATATCTGGAATGCTCTCGAGTCCTCAGTATGAGTCTGGAATGCGTACCGGGCCCTCAGCTCATATCTGCAATACTCTAGGGTTTGTTGGCTACCGCACGGAGCAGTACAACCTCAACCCATCCCACATAACATGTAACATATAACATAACTACTGAGCATGCAATAATCATATAACATCATAGGTAGTCCTACAGATCCACCTAACTGGAATAACCACTAACATGCAACACTGACTCATACTCAACATCCAATACTGCTAGGATAACACACCCAATGGGCCGGCCTTGGTGCCTTAGACCCCTTAGTATAGTGAGGATAACTCACCTTGCAACCGTCGTCTGAAACTAGAAAGCTCAACTCCCGGATCACCAACACGAGCTCCACCACCTATAGTTACCATAAAACCCTTTTTCATAAATCTCCAAATTACCAGAATACCCTCAGAAGTCAACTGGTCAACCCTTGGTCCAAGTCAAAGTCCACAGT